GTAAATAAAAAGTATTTTTGTACACAAGTTGCTCTCCTGTCCTACTGGTGAGACTGAAGCAATTCCGGGGTATGGGGATTTGAGTCTCCCAGCGAGGTTGAAATATGGCAGTGGTTGGATCCAGGAACACTGCCTGCTCATAAAAAAAACCTTTACAACAGGCAAACAGAATTTGGATCTAACCATTCTCTTGAGTTCACATTTGAAACCTGGCTTAAATTTAAAAGTAAACTATGTTTTCTGTGGGCACCTGTCTGTCTCTATATATGGGTATATATGTCTTGGAGATGTGGGCCATTACTTTCCTTTTCTACTTCTGTATGGTATAGCTAAAATTAAGTTGTAAAAGAGTTCTATTTCACTGGCTTAAAAAACAAAGAAGCACTTACGAATTAAAGAAATATAACAGAAAGTTAACTAAAATGTTTTTCTAGTTCATGTGGTCTAGAATTAAATTTTAGTAAATGAAAGCTAGCGTAAGTTTGTGGTTTTAATTTAAAAAGGCATGTTCTTGGAGCGGTCAGAACTCAAAATAATGCAGGCATATAGTTTTTATTCTGCCTGGGCTTATTGATTAAGTTTATGTTACCTGTGTCACAAAATTGTCAGCAAGAAAAATAACTTGGTATGATACATTTTTTTGTGAGTTACCAAAACATCACTTGAAAACAAGTGAGTTGAATGGATATGTATAAGATAAAAGTTTCGAGGTAAACTTTTTAAATCGCTTTCCCAAATCTGTTTGGCAACATGAAATCTTACACTTTTGCTACGGTAAGTTAAATGATTGGTAGTCAGTAAATATCTAGTTTGTTCCTAAATAAGATAAAAATACTGAAAATTTACTAAATCTAGGGTTAATCCATTTTGAGCTTCCTTTACAAATGACGTAGAGATTCAAATTCTATTTACAAACCAAAAACAGACTCACGGACATAGAAAACAAGTTATGGTTACCAAAGTGGAAAGGGTGGGGAGGGATAAATTATATGTTGGGGGTTAATAGACACTCATTACTGTATATAAAATAGATAAACAACAAGGACCTACTGTGTAGCACAGGGAACTATATTCAATTTCTTGTAGTAACATTTAATGGAAATGAGTCTGAAAAGGAAATCTATTATTTGAGATGATAACAAATTCTAAGTGGAGGATGTTGGGTGTCGGTTGCCATCGTGAAAGTAGCACAAACCTCACTTTCCCTGCAATTTCCGCCAGCTCTGAATGTGACTATCGCCCTAGGAAGTAGTAGAGTAGCCTTCAGCCATTTGGCAGTGGAGATTATCTCCTTGTCACAAACTGTAGCTGGAAACCTGGGGACTTCCCATCTTATTCCTCCTTGTATTTTCTTTTACTTCATTGCATGCCTGTTAACCTCCACCCACTTGATTCTCAAGCACCTGACCACAGCCAACTCCCACATGAAGAGATTAATTTCACCACCTCGTGTCGTTCCAGTTCTTCCACTGAATAGAGACCTAAAGGAATAAGTAACAAGGTCCTACTGTATAGCACAGGGAACTGTATTCAATATCTTGTAGTACCATATAATGAAAAAGAATATGAAAAAGTATATAACTGAATCACTATGCTGTACATCAGAAAATAACACATTGTAAATCAACTCTGCTTCAATTAGAAAAAAAGACCTACTGGAACTCTCTTTTTCACGTTCATAGTGCACCTGCTTTTTGCCTGTCATTGCCTTATGTGCATTTCCATGTCTCAGAAGTCTCCAAACAACACACTGATTTATGTATGCCTTGGTGTGAAAGAGAGAAAAAAATATAAATTAATAAATAACCTAGGTCACAATGTGTGGAAGAAAAAATAACAGTAGGGAAGAATTATATTAAAAAGAAATAAAGAAATTTTGCTATAGTTGAAAAGCAACTGGGTAACATAATACATTATTTGAAATCAGTATTTTAATAACCTTTGGGAAACTGCACTTATAGTAAAATTAGTAATATTTATTATGCAGTAAACATTTCCAAACATTAATTTTCATTCAACTAGTGTAAAAATACCTTAGGAATTTATGAAAATAGCATTTATAAGCATTTTTAACAACCAGATCATACAATAAGCCTTATGTGTGCAGCAGGAAAAGGAATGTAGTAGATTATTAGCATAAACAATGTTGGGATTTTCTCCAATAATTTCCCACATTTTAAGCCTCCTGACAGCATTTGCCTATTCTTCGTATGTGGCCAAGTTGATTTAAAAAAAAAAACAAAGCTTGAAGCTCCCTCCTTTAGAACCGGCTGAAAGTTCAAGCCATAAGCAGGTAGCCTCCCCAGCCCATCCAGTACCCACTATAGCACACCAAGCCGCTCACCATCCCTATTCTCTCAAGCCATTTTTGGACGAGTGTGTAAGTCTGCCCTGCTTCCCACAGAAAAGCTTTAGTAGGTAATAAACTCTCTTAACACTTTGGTTAATATCAGTCTCAATATCCAAACCCAGCATTGGGGCAGGTTCCATCTTATTCCAGTGAATTGCAGAAAAGTGCAAATGAGCAACAAAATGTTTGAGGAGTGCCTTTATAACTTTCCTAGTTATCTATGAAACTAAAAATGGTTGCCATTGTATAGTTTGTTCTTAAATGGAAACTCGAGAACATTGATCTTTTCAAACTATTTCACTGAGCACTCCAAGCACAAAAGTGATTGTACTATTTTAAAATCCGATTTCTGAAAAGTTCTTTTATATTCTAGTATTTTTGTTATGCTTACTATATTCCTATTTTCACTTCATGTAAATCAAGGTTTTTACCACAGCTTTTATTTGGGCACAAAAAAGAACATGAAGAAATATATTCATATGGTGCATATTCATGAGTGGGTGGCAGGTTTCAGGGGGTATGAACAAGAAGTAACAAGTCCAAGGCAGAGTCACTTGCCCCCAGTACAGCAATCCAAACCATTTCTTTTTTTAATGGAAGTACTGGGGATTGAACCCAGGACCTCCTGCATGCTAAGCATGCACTCTACCACTGAACTATATCCTGGCCCCAGCAAACCCAGTCTTAACTGAAGTTTCATCCCTCCCAAGAATGAGATCTTTAACCAGTAACCAGTTAACCAGTAATTCTGCAATTTCTGGATTAAACACTAGTGAGGTAACCTGCAGGAAAAGACCCCTGCCCCACGACTCCCCAAAATAGGAGACCTGGCCTGAAACGACTCTTTTTATCTTTTTTTTTTTGCCAGTAAGTTTGTCTCACCCACTTTCTCCCTACAAAGCATTCAAAATTACACAGCTCCTTGAGAACCTTTCTATTCATGAGATGACATGATGATCAAGTCATGAATCATTGAATAAAGCCAATTAATCTTTAAATATACTGTTTAATTTTTGTATATTAGTGGAAGTCAGAGTCTGAAAAACACTGCTGTGCTGTTTGTATTACAGCCATCAGAATATTCTGGAATAGTGTGGAGGGAATAACTCAGGTACAAACTATAAGCATGTAGTCTCCCCATGGAAAGAAATCATTATAGATGCTTTCAATGCACAGAGCCTAACAGCACACTGTTTCTGTAATAAAATACTGAGACAGGATAAAACTGTTGGTGGAAGGAACATGATTCATCCAGCATTATGACAAGTGATTTATTAAACACAAGATCCATGATACATTTCAAATAAAACAGCAGCAGCAATTAAAGGTGAATCATACAAATACAATTATTGTTTTGATTAAATTCCATTCAAGGTTAACTGCTCATTATTCAGTTTCCAAGAATAAGACTCACTTTTCATTAACCATTGATTTATACAACAGCTTTGCCATTCAATGGAGAATCTGACCACCAGTTCTCCTACATTATTTCTACCACAAAATTAAGTCCCAAGTAACCTGTCACTCTCCTCCTATTAACAGTCCAGTCCCTTAATGTCCTGCCTTCTGTGTTCACAGTCAGCAGGTAGAGCTTTCTGTCCTATAATCCAGTGGCCTGTTTACAGAAGGGCACCCTGAACGTGAGTCTGATGAGTTATGTCATAGTTTTACATTATTCTCTGCCCTTCCCTGATGAAAATTCATACACTATCAAATTTGATTTTTTTTTTCCTCCAGGAAAGATGGATATGAATGAACCACACCTTATCAATCTGGCCCCTTCATCTTGACTCCTTCCCACAGACCATCATGAAGGGCCTGTAAGAAAGGTATAAAATCAACAGATTTCAAGCATTCTCTTAAAAATCATGAGTAGCCATGCAGCCTTTTTAAGACTACTCAAAGTATTCTGTATTTTATTAGAAGAGACTGGGCCATTTCCACATATGACCTTGATCCTGTGATAAACGCATGTCCTAAGTTTGAACATGTTATGACTTGCAATTATTCTGTAATAGCTCAGGTTAATGTTGGAGAACTTAAGTTACTCCTAGTATGGGTTACTGGATGTATGCTGTGTTGTCAGATGTGGTCAAAAAACTCATATTCATTGCATTTTTACAGATTCTCCCCAACATGAATTCTTCGGTGAACCCTGAGTACACAGTTTCTTAAACGTGTTTTCATGTTTAGTATATCTGTATAGTTTCTTTCCTGCACCTGATGAGAGCAATCATTTAAAACTTTGCCACATTCATTGCATTTTTAATATGAAGTATTTGGTAAACTCTGAGTTTAGGCAACACCTAAAAGTCTTCAATAAATGTGTAAGGTTTTGCCTAGTATGGAGTACCTGATGATTGGTGAGATGTGAGCCCTGAGTAAAGGTTTTACACACTCATACCATTTGTAAAGTTTCTCTCCAGAATGGCATCTTTACAGAGTACTCCAGTCAAACTGTTCTCTAAAAGCCTTCATGCACTGAATACATTTCTGTAGTTTCTATCAAGTATGAATTTTCTCATGAAGCCTAAGGAGTGAACACCTGCTAAAAGCCTTGCCACATTCATTACATTTGTAATGTCTCTCGCCAGTATGGATCACTTGATGGTAAGACAGGCTTGAACGCAAGATAAAGGCCTTACCACACACATCACATTTGTAGGGTTTCTCTCCAGTGTGAGTTCTCTGATGATATGCAAGGTGAGACCTGTGACTGAAGGATTTTGCACAGACATCACATTTAAATGGTTTGTCTCCTGTATGGATGACTTGATGGGAAGTTAAGGTTGATCGCATGCTAAAGGCTTTGCCACATTCATTACATTTATAAGGTTTCTCTCCAGTATGAATTCTCCGGTGATTTACAAGGTGTGAATTCTGATTGAAGCCCTTGCCGCAGACATCACATTTATGTGGTTTCTCTCCTGTATGGATGATCTGATGGGAAGTTAAGCTTGACTGCACAGTAAAGGCTTTGCCACACTCGTTACATTTGTAAGGTTTCTCTCCTGTATGAATTCTCTTATGATTCACTAGTTGGTAATTCTGACTGAAGCCTTTGCCGCAGACATCACATTTATGTGGTTTCTCTCCCGTATGGATTACCTGGTGGGAATTTAAGGTTGATCGCATACTGAAGGCTTTTCCACATACATTACATTTGTAAGGTTTCTCTCCAGTATGAATTCTACGATGATTCACAAGGTGTGAATTCTGACTGAAGCCCTTGCCGCAGACATCACATTTATATGGTTTCTCTCCTGTATGGATGATCTGATGGGAAGTGAGGCTTGAACGCACACGAAAGGCTTTCCCACAGTCGTAACACTTGTATGGTTTCTCCCCGGAATGGATTCTCTGATGGATTTTAAAGTGTGACTTTTGACTGAAGACCTTCCCACATACATCACATTTATATGGTTTTTCTTCTTTATGGATTATCTGATGTGTAGCAAGAGTTGAACCCTGAGTGAAGGCTTTGCCGCATTCTTTACATTTGAAAGGCTTCTCTCCAACGTGAATTCGTTGGTGGACCCTGATGTCAGACAGGTGCCTAAAGTCCTTACCACATTCAGTGCATTTGTACGGCTTCTCTCCTGTATGAATTCTCTTATGATTTGTAAGGTGTGAACGGTTTATAAAAAACTTCCCACATTCATTACATTGGTAAGGTTTCTCTCCAGTATGGATGACCTGATGGTAAGTTAGACTTGCATGCATACTGAAGGCTTTGCCACAAACATCACATTTGTACGGTTTCTCTCCAGCATGAATTCTTTGGTGAATCCTAAGATAATACCATTGCTTAAATGCCTTGCCACATTCAAAACATTTGTATGGCTTTTCTCCAGTATGAATTCTCTCATGATTTGTAAGGTGCGAACAGTTTATAAAAACTTTCCCACACTTATTACATTGGTAAGGCTTCTCCCCAGTATGGATGACCTGATGGTAAGTGAGGCTTGAACACACAATAAAGGCTTTACCACGCTCATCACATTTGTAGGGTTTCTCTCCAGTATGAATTCTCTGATGACTTGCAAGGGTTCCATTTTGACTAAAGACCTTGCCACACTCATTACATTTATAGGGTTTCTCTCCAGTATGAATTCTCTGATGAATTCTGAGTTCTGAATTTTGACTGAAGACTTTGCCACATACACCACATTCACACGGTTTCTCTCCTGTATGGATTATCTGATGTCTAACGAGGGGCATGTCATGATTAAAGGTTTTGCCACACTCACTGCGTTCGTAAGGCTTCTCTCCAGTGTGAACTCTCTGATGAACAGTAACGTTTGAATTCCAACTAGTAAGTTTGCCACATACATCACGTTTATATAAATTTGCTCTTGTATGGATTCTCTGGTGTCTACGGAGGGATGAGCCATGATTAAAGGCCTTGCCACACTCATTACATTTGTACAGTTTCTCTCCAGTATGATTTCGCTGATGACTTGCAAGATCTGAATTTCGACTAAAGACTTTGCCACATTCATCACAGTTACATGACTGCTCTCCTGTGTGGATAATCTGATGCCCAGTGAGGGATGAGCCCTGATCAAAAGTTTTGCCAAACTCATTACATTTGTAAGGTTTTCCCCCGTGTGCTTTCTGGTCCTGTGTCAGTCCTGAAGGATGGATGAGGGCATTCTCATGTGTATTTGATATGTTAGTTTGGTCACTAGGAGGAATTCTTTCAAGCAGTGACGAGTCAATACTGTTGACAGACTTTGCGACCTGATTACATTGAAGAACTTCCCCTTCAGTTTGATGTATCAGAAGTTTATCTCCAAACCTGGATCCAAGCCTGCTTTCAACGGGCTTCTTTCCTATATCCCTTCTCCCACACTGACTTCTTTTATCAGTGAGATTTTCTATACAGGTTACAGGCATTTGTTTGTCATTTCCTTCACCATCTCCACACTCAAATTCCTGTGTATTTTCCTGGATTTCCTGGAAGTAAAAATCTTTCATTTCATGGCTTTCATGTCTCCCCAACCTCACTGTTTGGAATACTTCTCTGTCACTGTTCATTTTAGGTTGTAATTTCTTCATCACATGTATATGAAAGATATCTACAAGATATAAAGAACCACAGATATTCTATTAATTACAGTTTGTAAATACATAATTTCTTGTTGAAAACATAATCTTAAACCAAAACTAATAAGTTATGAAACTTCCCAAACACGATGTTCAAAATTTAAGGAACATTAAAGGAATAGGATTCCTTACTAAAGAAAAAGTGATCACATGTAATTCAAAATAAACTTGTATGGAATATAACCTTTAAAAACTGAATCACAGTGGGGTGGATATAGCTCAGTGGCAGAGTGCAAGCTTAGCACATGAGTGGTCCTGGGTTCAATCCCCAGTAACTCCATTTAAAAAAAAAATTGTGAACCACTAAGTTGGACACTTGAAAGTTAAATAATATTGCAAGTCAACTATATCTTAATTAAAAAATAAAGATATGGAATTGAGAAAAATAAAAACTATTAAAAATTTAAAAAATAACTTTAGGGTAGTCTAGTTTAAAACACAAACCTCTAATGATGCACAAACTTTATGTTAGTTCTCAAAGAAAGTGCGTTTTTCCACCATTATCCCAAAGCACACACCAACTGGCAGTAAGCACACTGCTGTCTCATAACTGACAGAAAAGTATTATATTATGTATGATTTTTTCAGACTTGTACATAAGTAAATGCTGAAGAAGAAACAATATACTATAATGGTAAATAACCCCAAAAAAGTTTATCTGATGATTAATGTAAACAAATGGCAGTTTAGAATTGAAAGACAAAAGTATCATTGAGTTGTTCCCTATCTAGGCAGTAAGTTTAAACTACCTAGTTCATTGGCCCCAAAATCTACTTAATACAGTGTGCTTTGAACATTTATGAACTATGATCAGAGACAATGTTGTTAGGATCAATTACAAACAAAAACATACAAGTTATAATGTAGACAAAGTGATATTTCACAGTAAACATGAACATTAATATAGTCTTTTAAGCAAAAGTAATTTTTGAGTCTTTACTATGGAACATGAAATACTCTAAGGCATCCAAAAGCACCAATTACCATGATTTTTCAAATAAGGCATTAGACTCACAGGGTTAATGTACATAACCTCAGTTCACCCAGAAAATAAGTCAAAGAAATAGTATTTGAACCTGGACCTACAGACTCACAGAATGTGTTCTTCAGCATGAATTGTCCACCCAAGCGGTGTAGATCACAGATTTCAAATAATACCAAGGGTTTAGAAAGACAATTTTAAGGGCGATACAACAACTGAGCTGGAGGGTGGAGTGGAGGGTACAGCTCAATGGTAGAGCACGTGCTTAGTGTGCATGAGGCTATGGGTTCAACCCCCAGTACCTCCATTTAAAAAAAAAAGGACAGAGCTGTATAACTAACATTACTCACCATCCTTCCTGGAAATGGTTTCTGAGTCACCATTTCTGTGCATATTAATTTAGGTTTCGTCCAGTGAAATTAGTTCATTGTATGAATACATGCCTCCCCCCCACCCAATATGAGCAGTGTGGGAAGACAGCGGGATGGGTGAGAAAGGGCTCTGGAAATGGGTGGCTCAGGAGAAGAAATTCAATAGGCTAGGAAATAACATCCACATCAAGGCACCACATGAGGAAAAGTCAGAACTGGGAAGGCCGAGAAGCGGGGACGGGGAGTAAAGGACCCGTGGGAGCAAAGCTTGTGACTGCATGATGGTGGAGGGCAAAGGACATACTCAACTTGGAAGAAAAGAACTGGTTTGGCAGGTAGCACCATATTTTCTCACTGTTAACCACTGAATAATATGGTGGGCATGCAACAAAAAGGAAATCTAAAAAAGAGAGAGTGTGATGTCATATGGAGAAAGCAGGTTTTCATCTGTAATAATATTTAATACAAAATGTACCAGTTTTAATATCCATCAGTTCCATTTCCAGGAACAGATATTCAAGAGAAAAAATACAGACATTCCAGAGACATTTTCAGGAATGGAATAAGCAGGACCTGGAAGGGAAAAGCAGGAAAGGGCCACCCAGAGAAGACAGATGAGTTTGTTCTGTACAGGCTCTTCCAGACACAATGAGATCTTATCAACAGCCCAGCGAAGTAGGGAGACACGGTTTCACAACGATGATCTCCTGGCTGGGTGGGCAGCAGGGCTGTTCCAGGAAACAGACAGAACAGGAGGTCTTTTCCAAGGCAGACGCATTTTAGGATGTGATCATTTTAGTTAAAAAAGAAACCTGCGGCAACATGGATCACAGATGGACTGGGAGATCGTCATTCTAAGGGAAGTGAGCCAGAAAGAGAAAGAAAAATACCATATGATATCACTCATATGTGGTATCCAAAAAAAAAAAAAAAAAAAAAAAAAGAAGACAAATGAACTTATTTACAAAACAGAAACAGACTCACACAGAAAACAAACTTATGATTATCAGAGGGGGACAGGTTGGGAAGGGATAAACTGGGAGTTGGAGATTTGCAAATACTAATACATAAGAAATAGATAAACAACAAGTTTACACTGTGTAGCACAGGGAACTATAGTCAATACCTTGTAGTAACTTACGGTGAAAAAGAATATGAAAACAAATATATGCATGTTCCTATATGACTGAAGTATTGTGCTATACCCCAGAAATGGACACACTGTAAACTCACTATACTTCAATAAAAACATATTTTAAAATAAATTAAGAAAAGAAAAGAAAAAGAAAGTTGCGGAGGGTATAGCTCAGTGGTAGAGTGCTCGTTTAGCATGCACGAGTTCCTGGGTTCAATCCTCAGCACCTCCATTAAAAAGAACTAAAAAACAAACAAACCTAATTCCCCTCACGAAAAAATTAAGTTAAAATACATTAAAAAAATAAAGAAAAATCTTGCTAACTAAATTATTAAGTATCTAACATTTAAAAAGAAATTTAACAATTTGATATATCAAGCCTAAGGCTTCTTGTTTGGTATTAAGAATAATAATGTCCCCTTTGCTGGGCTGCTCTAATCCCTGGAAATCATATCACGGGATCTCTTAACAAAATCTCTGCCATTAAAAAGAGACGTGTAAAGTTGCTGGCAAGACAGCAGACCAGTAAAGTCCAGGCACTCACTTATTAGCTCAAGGAGACACTAAGTTAACAACAATTTACAACAACAACAAAAAAACCCTTTGGACTAACTGAACTTCAGGTAAGAAGGTGGAGCACCCAAACAAACACCTATGCTCAAAACATAAAACGAAAAAGTGTAGGAACAGTCATGACAGTTTGCTGGCTTTGACTCAATCCCTCCCAGGCTCAGTGCAGTGAGATGGAACAGGGGATGTCTCCCAGCTCCCAGCTCCCCCCTTAGGAGGAAATGCAAATCAAAGCCTCAAGGAGATTGCACCTCACACCTTTAGAATGGCTATTAACAAAAAGACAAGAGCTAAATTTATCCCTTCCCACCCTTTCTCCTGTAACTATAAGATTGTTAACCATGTCTGCTAAATTTGAGTTTGAGATTTACAAATGTTAGCCACAATATATAATAGATTTAAAAAGAAGTTTCTTCTGTATAGCAAAGAGAACTATGTTCAATATCTTGTAATAACCTTTAATGAAAAAGAATATGAAGATGAATATATGTATGTATATGCATGACTGGGACATTGTGCTGTACACCAGAAATGGACACACTGTAACTGACTATACTTCACTTGAAAAAAAAAAAGACAAGGGCTAGAAGCATTGGGAAGGCTGTGGAGAAAAGGGAATCCTACTGTACTGCTGGCAGGACTGTAATTAGTTATGGTCACTGGAGAAAACACCATGGAGGTTCCTTAAAAAAAAGTTGTTTTAAAGTACCACGTAATGTAGCTATTTCACATTTCAGTGTATGTCAAAAAGAAATGAAATTGCTATGACGAAGAGAGATCTGCACCCCTATGTTCATTACAGCACTGTAAACAAGAGCCAAGACATGGAAACCACCGAAGTGTCTAACTAACGAATGAATTTTAAAAAGTCTGGTTTCTTTACATAATGAAATATTATTCAGCCATTAAAACAAAAAGAATCTGGAGGCGCAGCATGTGGAAATAGATCTCTGCTTACTGGAATTAAAATTAAAAAAAAAAAAAAGAATGAAATCCTGCTATTTGTACTAACATGGATGGCATTTGAGGAGCTTATGCTAAGTAAAATAAGTCTGAGAGAAAAACAAATACAGTGTGATCTCTCTCATACGTGGGGAGGAAAAGGCCAAATACGAACAGAAAGCAAAATAGTGATGACCAGGGGCTGGGGCTTGACAGAAACAGGGAGATGTTAGTCAGAGAAAATAAACTTCAAATTGTAACATGAATAAATTCTGGGGATCTAATGTGCACCATGGTGATTACCGTTATCAATACCATATTATTTACTTGGAAGTTAAAAGACAGTAAACCTTAAAAGTTCTCACTACACACAAAATTGTCAATATGTGAGCTGATGGATGTCTTAACAAACATGTGGTAACCTTTTTGAAATATAAGTGTGTGTCAAATCATCACATTGTACACTTAAACTTATATCAATGTTATATGTTAATTATATCTCAAAGCTTAAAAAGAGAAAACACAAAGGAATGCACACAAAAGATTCTGGTTTATCATGTGAATGAAAAGAATTTAAAAAGGAAAATAAAAAAGATCTCAGGAAACAAAAATGGAGCTGGAAAGGTAGAAAGAAAAAATTAAGTTAGAGATATACAAAAGAGAACTTTAAAACTACAAAAAAAATCACAAAAATAAAATTTGGTTCTTTGATCAGATGGACACAATTAATGAACCTTTCAGTAGATTAGACTCAAATCACTAATATAAAAATGAAAGTGGGGACATTACAACTGATTCTGCAGAAATCAAAACAATTAGAAGAGGACAACTCTATGCCCAAATATTGGAAAATTTAGAAAAAAGTAATAAATTCCTAGAGACACACCACCTATCCACTGGGTTATGAAGAAATAAAAAACCTGAAGAGACTGACACCTTGTAAGGAGATTGAGTCACTAATCAAAAAATCAC